GAAAAAAATATTAATTAATTAATAATATTATTTAATTTAAATAAAAATTATATTAATACATATTTTTTAAATTAATGAATTTGTTTTTTTTAATATTTATTTTAAATTAAATTAAATTTCAAAATGAAAAATAAATAAAATCTGAATAAAATATTTTAAATACTAAATTATATCATAGAAAATAATTATTTATATTAACAAAATATTTTTTCACATATTTATTTTATTATTATTTTATTTTATTTTAAATAAAACTTTTTTTAACACAAATAAAATGCTTTAAAATAAGAATATTGATCAAAAAGATAATTCCATTGAATAGTTTTTATAATAATAATCAGAAAAATCAGTATAAAATTTAGTATAAACCTAATATTAAAAATAAAAAAATCAATTTTTTTTTTTAAAATAAAAAAAGAATTAAGAAATAAAAGAAATGAAATTAAATGAATATAATTAAACGCAAAAATTTGATGAAAATTATTTGATTAATGACGCAATTAAAGTTTTATAAAAGCCTTTTTTTTAGAGAACAGATGAAGAAATATAGATATTAATAAAGTTTTTCAATTTTTTTTAATAAAAACAACAAGCAAATTTAATATTATTTTTTAAAAGTTTTACAAAAGATATTGCTTTTTTTAAAAAATAATTTGGACCTAATAATAGTTATTTCCTAAAAGAGTATTCTTAATATTTTATTTACAAATAGTATTTTAAAGATTAAGTAGTTTTTAGTTAAGGTTTAAAAAAATAAACTTAAAAAGATAAATATATTTAAACTTAATATATATAGGAGATAAAGGGGACTATTTTTATTTTATATTAAAAGGAAAAGTGAAAATAGAGTCGTTAATTAAATAAATAGAAACATAAAAGGTAGACAAAAAGGTTATTAATATAGAAACAATAATAAAAAGACATATTTGTGATTTAGGATAAAATGATACATTTGGTGAATTAGCTCTTATTGATTCTAAACCAAGAGGAGCTACTATTACTTGTTTAGAAGATTGCCATTTTATAGTTTTCGATAAATAATATTTTACTTTAATATTGAGTAATATATATATATATAATGATATATTTATAATATTAAATAAGAGTAAACAGAAACAACAAAATTAAAAAATTATGTAGTTTAACTTGAAAAAAACTATTTATTTAATGATTTTTCCTTTAATTTGTTAAGATCTATATACTTACTATTCTAAATAAGATCTTGTAGATTTGGAGAATATATATTTAAAGAAGGAGATGAATCTGATTCTTTATATTTAATAAAAGAAGGGGATTTTAAGGTAAAATAATTTATTTATAAAAGTAATAAATATAATAAAAGATAACAAAAAAACTAGAATATAAATATGATGAATTAGAAAAAAAATGTATTAAATAATAATGAAAAAATATAAAAAATAATAAATTAAGAACTCGGTATTTTATCGAAAAATCAATCTTTTGGAGAAGAAGAATTTTTTTGTGGAGGATTACGTTAAGTAACAGTTTAATGTATTTCAAGAGAATCTATAATAATGAAATTAGTAAAAAGTGATCTATATAAGAAATTTAATTATGATACAAACACTCTTAAACTTTTAATTTAGAGGGCAGAATAAAAAAAGTTATATAGAGAAAAATTATTATAAGAACTTCATTTAAAATATTATGAAAATTAAGAAAATGTAAAGAATTAACCAATATTTACAAAAAATAAATTTCAGTAAGCCTTTTCTATTGAAATTCCATTTCAAAAAAGCGAAGAAGATACTATAATTAAAAGCGATTATAAATCAAATATATCTATTTAAACATAATAAAATAAAAATTAATAATAAAAATTTTCAAATTTTAATACTCCTAAGAATACTTAAAGTCCAAAAAATTAAAAAGTTGGTTTTGTAGATAACAAATATTTTGATATAGAAGATATGATAAATAAAAAGTAAAGAAATAGTTCGAAAAATAAATTTTTTTACAGTTTATAAAAATAAACTAAAGAAAATGAAAGCAAAAAAAATTATTCAATTATGTTTTAAAAATAAAATAAGCAAAAGAATGTTATAATTATTAATAATAATAATAATAATAATAATAATAATAATAATAATAATAATAATAATACTTATCTTTAAATATAATAAAATATATTTTTAAATTAAAAATGCTAATAAGATCAAATTTTCTACGATTAATTAATTAAAAAATAATAAAGCTAAATAAGTGAATAATTATAAAGATAAATTAATGAAAAAAAAAAAATCATATAAATATTTGGAAAATAATAAAATTTACGATAAAATAATAATAATGCATATAACAATTTTATTTATAATGTTTTTTAATAATCTATTAGTAAACATTTTTAAAATTAACAAAATAATAAATAATATACTAATTCAATGAATTTAAAAAGACAATTTAGCCTAATAAATAAAACTAATTAGTAAAGCTTCTATATAAACAATATTATAAATTACTAAACAAATTAGAATTAATAAAATAATAATTAATAGTCATAATATTTTTTTTAAAAAACTAATTTGCATAAATAGCAAAAAAATAAATATAAATCTAAATCAAATGCTTGTAAATAATTTATTCTAAATACAAATGAATAAGTAATAACGATGTAATCAAAAAGTAAATAAACTTAATTAAATTCATATAAATTAGATAATGATATAAAGTTAAAATAATAGCATACTTACTTAAATGTTTTAACAGGAATATCAGACGATTCTTCCAAGATGACACATCTTATCACTTAAAATATAATAAATAAAATTGAAAAAAGTAGGAATTAATTACTTACAAAGGAGAATAATAATATATAAAATATTTAAAATTTAAAAGAAATTCAAAATATTAATAGTAAAACACAAGAAGAAAACATTATTTAAAAAAACAGACAAAAATATAATAATAAATCTTTAAATTTTACAAATGAAAAATTTGACTAATAGGTACTAAAAAATTAAAATATACCCTAATAAAAACACTAACAAATTTATAAAGCTCAAACATTTACCCAAAAAAAAATCCGAAACAAAAAACAAATTATAAGACCAAAAAGTTTGTAAATATTTAAGCATTCTTATATTCAAAATCCATGTTCAATTGTAAATTAAGATGTATATCATATATATGATTGTAGAAATTATAATAACGGGAAATGTATTTGTTCTTCAAATCCAATTAACTTTCTACCTTTAAAATATAGAACTGAATTTATTTTCAATAATTTAAAGACATTTAAAAGAAATGATTTCGTTTTTAGAAAATAAAATAAAAATTTCATTGAAAATTGATTAGATATATATATATATAATATTTACTATTAATCCTATTTTTGTAAAAAGATATACTAAAATTTTATTTTTATAATACGAAAAAAACTTCTATATATATATACAAATTCATAAATATATATATTACTTTTTAACATGGTTTATTTATTTTTTTCTGTAACTTTTATTTATAACACAATTAAAAAAACAAGGCAATAAAAATGGATTATAGATTTTTTTTATTATTGAGTTTATTAAAATAAAAAATCAAAGAAATAACAAAAATAAATCTGTGCTAAAAAATAAAATATATATTTTTAAAATAAATATTTATAAATACATACATATTTCATTTATTTAAAAAAATATTATGTTAAGGTTAATTTTAAATTTCTGATATATCTAATCCTTATAATTTTAATTAATCTATTAAATCTCTAGTTTAAAATTTCTAATATTCATCTACTCCAGACTTTTTGGTCTTTTTTTCTTTCTAAACATATTTATTTTAAAAAATACTATTTGTTAAATTATCTAATTGTCTATCTACAAATAATCCTATTAATTTAAACACGTTTTCATCTTAACTTTCTAATCCTATCTCTTCCATTATTTTTTAGACTAATAAAGGAGATATTTTAGGGTTATAATCGACCAATTGTTACATTAAAAAATCTATTCTTTTATCAGGTTCAAGTTCTTGATATTGTTATAAATTTTAATTTTAATTTTGTTTATCGTCTTGCATTTTATTTTTTAAAAAGATATTTTATTTTATAAAAAGATAATAATTAAAATTTATATTTAAATATTTTTGAATTAAAAATCATAAGAATATTTTTTTTTTTTATAATAAATATAAGTAATTATTATTAGTAATAATGTAAATTATACAAAAAAAAAATTAAATAGCTTCAATTACTTTGATAATATATATATATATATATATATATATATATTCAATTTTTTAATTTATTTATAATATAATTTAAAATTATACTTTTAAATAACAATATATATTTTTTTTTATTATAATATCAATCAAATATAATTTTTAAGCTAAATGTAATTATTATAAATAAAAATACTTTATTTATATTTAATTTTGTTTGTATATTTATTATTAAAATAAAGAATAAAGCTGTAATTATATTTATTTATTAATTAAAAATAGAAAAAAATAAAAAATAAAAAAAAATTATATAAAAATATTAATAAATATTTTTTATAAATGAATAAATAAATGCATTAATATCTAAAAAATCTTATATTATTAATTAAAATAAATAAATATATATAAAATAGTTTTAAAAAATTAAAAAAAGATTAAAATGTTAAAAAATTATTTAATAATATTCCAAATTCTTTTTTCAATTACCTATTAATTCTGGGAAGGTGGTCATATGCTAGTAGTATAAATTGCTAAACAAGAATTAATTTCCAAAGACCCATCTTTATACTAAAAAATAGAAAATTTCGTCACAATCCTAAATCCCCTTTGCGATTCCAGAAGCCAGACATTTGTAGAAGCTGCAAGTTGGGCCGATGATATAAAAGACGATTCTATGGACTTTTTATTCGGCTGGCATTTTTACGACAAACCTGAAAATGAATAAGGTTTATATAAAATATTAAATCCTGAAGGTGAGAAATACAACAGTGTTTCTGCTGTTAAGAGGGCTAAGGAAGAGTTATTAAAATAACCTTATATGAAAATTAATAACTAGTTTAATATATCATTGTAATAGGCTTTTTATATGAGGTTATTAATACATATTGTAGGTGATATTCATTAACCTTTACATAATATTAATATGTTCAATAGTACTTATGTTGACGGTGATTAAGGAGGAAATTAAGAAAATATTTATTTACCTGATGGAAGTAAAATAATTCTTCACTCATATTTTGATAGTATTACTAGTAAAAAAGAGTTCGATGTTTAAAGGCCTTTGAAAGAAGATGGGGTTAAGGCTTTTGAAAATTTCGGAAAATAATTTAGAGAATAATATCCAAGGAAGTCTTTTGGAAATAGGATAAACTTAGATATAATTTAATGGGTTTAGGAGTCTTATGATATTGGACATAAACAGATTTATCCGTATTTTTATAAAAATTAGAATGTAACTAAAGAATTTGATTAATAAATGTTTAATCTTTTGAAAGAATAAATAACTTTAGGTGGATATAGGCTTGCTGATTTTTTGATTGATATTTTTGAAAAAAAAACATAAAATGAATTTTAGGAAAAAATAAAAAATATAAGATAATAAAATTCATAGTCATAAAGAATTTGAAATTTTTTAAGATTAATATCATAAATGTATGCATTAAATTTAAAACAAAAAAAAATGTAATATTTTTTTATTTGTTCTTTGTTTTTTTATGATTAATTTTTTATTTTTTAAATTAAATTTTGAATTAATTTTATTTTAAAATAATGTAAGTTAGAAAAAAAAGATAAAAAAAAATATTAAAAATAATAAATAAATATATTATATACCAAATAAAATATATTAATAAATAATTAAATAATGTTTATCAAAAAAAACAAAAATATATAATACGTATATATATATAAATAATATATATATATATATATATATTTATATATATTTAATTTTAATTTTTTTTTATAATATAATTCTATAATAATTAATAATTTTCAAATTTCTTATTTTGTAATATCATCAATATTTTCAATAATCTTATGTACTATTTTTCCAAGTTCTTTTATTTTATTTGCAAAAAAGTCTTAAAAGAGTTTTTCTCTTTCTTTTTAATCCTCCATTTCGACATCTGACACAATTTTGATTGCTGTAAAAGGTACATTCATTAAATGACAAATTCTAACTAAACTTGCAGCTTCCATTTCTATGCAATCGATTTTTCTCTTAATAGCAATCTCATTATTATTTGTAAAACTATTATCAGTACCTATATTTACTCCTTTTAACTTTAAAAACTTTTATATAGGTTCAGGGTCCAATAAATTATATTAGCTTCCTTCTATAAAATCTTCATATTCCTTAATAATCATTTCCCGTTTGAAATATTATACTTTTTTTGCTATTACAATCTCTCCTATTTTTATGTTTGTCTCGTTTCTGACTCCTCCTGATGTCCCTGCGTTTATTACTAGATCCGGATTATATTTTACTATAGCAGAATATAAGCATATAGCTGAAGGTTCAGATCCTACTGACTAAACTTTATATAAAGGATCAGCTGGAGGTTTAGCTAGTATAATCTATTTTTTTTAGTTGAGCGATTTTCCTATATATATTTCTGAAAATTAATCTTTTTAATCTAGTTTAAGCTAATATTAATTTATTATATCATTAGCTTCTTATTCCATAGCATAAAATAATAGTATTTTATTTACATTTTTAGGCCATTTAATGTAATTAGATTTATTGATCATTTTTTTTATTTTTATTGTTTTTTTAATTTTAAATTAAATATTTTTTTATTAAATTTATTTTATGTTTTATATTATATGTTTAAATTTTATATTTTTAGATTTATATATTTGATTTACATTTAGTTTTATAATAAAAGAATTAAAATAATATTAATTTATAGAAATTTAAACAAGTATAAATTTGTAAAATTTAAGATTATGTAATATATATAATTATATTTTTTTGAGAATTCACTGAAATATTTTAAAAATTCAATAAAAATTAAAAATAACATAATCCGTTTTTTTCTTAACTTTTATATTTTATTAATTGTGTTAAAAATACCATAATCCTTTTTTTTTCTTGACTTTTATATTTTATTAATTGTGTTTTTTTTTTTAAAAAAAATAAAGGAAATATAAAACAAATAATGATTAAAAGGCAAATATAATTTTATTTTAATTTACATATGTAAATATACATATATATTGAAAATTAAAAAAAAAAAATTTAATTTGACATATATTTAAAGTAAAAAAAAAGTTATATTTATTATTATAATATAAAAATAAATCAAATAGTATTAATATAATGTTTAATTCCACTAAAGATAATACTTAAAACAACCACAACGAAAAGTTCCTTAAAAAAATTAGTAATGTTATTAAATAATTTATTTTGATTTTCTTCTAATTATTTAATTCTATTTTCTAATTTCAAAGCTTATGCTTTAAGTGAATCTTTTCCTTCTTTTTTGCTATCAGATTTTTTTAAAACTCCTTCTATTTATTCAATTTTTTATTTTAAATTTTCAATTGACTTTTATTTAGTCTTTAAATTATCTTATAATGCTATAAAAATTTTATTTTCTTAATCTATCCTTTCCATATTAAAATTAATATCAATATTTAATTCTTGTTACATGCAAAAATTTAACCTGGCCTATAATTCGGCTATAATCATGTTTTTTTCCTCAATTCGTTTGCAATTTTATTAATCTTGTTTTTCTAATTATTGAATCATTTATAGCATTTTTTATGAATTTTCTTTTAATTTTAAGATTTCAATTTAAAGTTGCTCTTTTTAAGGACTTTTTAGATTTTATATCATTTCTAATCTTTAATCATAATATGTTCTTTATGGACTTATAAAATTATTTATTTGCATTTTATTTTATTTTCTTATAAGTTAATTATTTCTTTATATATATATAAATATTTATGTAATAAATAAAAAATAAAAGTAGGGTCTTTTTATTTTTTATTATTTTTTTTATTTTTTATTATGTTTATTTTTTCTATTAAAATCTTAGCATTTTATTATAAATTTTAAGTATTTAAAAATATGAACTATTAGATTTGGTTTTAAATTTATATCTATCAAAAAATTCTATTCATTTATATATTAAATAATATAATAAGTTACTTTTGAATTTATAAATAAATAATTATATTTTCAGACAAATATAGAAATAATATAAATATATATATAAATAAACATATTTTCATAATAATATACTTATTAAAAAAAATAAAAAATAAGTTATTATTTTTATTAATTAAAAATTTATTTCTATTTGATATTTTTGTTATAATTCTTTCTTTTATTATATTATTATAAATATTGAAAAATTTATTTTTATTATTATTTTATTACTAAATAATGATTTAATATCATACAATATATTTTATTTTACAAATATATATATATATATATATATATATATATATATATATTTATAAAAATTTTTATCTTAAATATTAAAAAATTTAACACAAAATACATATTTTACTTAAATGTTTTTTTATGTCAAAAATTTATAAAAATATAAAAAATAAATATTAATATTATTTTCATTTATATTCAGATAGAGATTATCGAATATTTCCTTCTACTTATTATAAGTATTCTTATCCGTTTTCAATGATATATTAATGTAATATTCCTTCTGGATCACATACATAAGAACCATGAAAATTTTCTTTAGATTTTTATTTACCATTTTAAAGTAATTTAACCATTCCTTCTTTATTATATGCACTTAAAGCATAGAAATTTTATTTGCAATTTGGGCATTCCATCATATTTTTAGCCGAATTTTCGTAAAAAGCAGATGACTAAAGAGCATTATAATAATATTCTTCAGAATGATTACATTTAGAACATCTCATTTTCTAAGAAACTCCAACTGCCTTAGAAACTTTTTCACTTATTTTATTTAAAACTTACATTTTTTTTTTTAAATTAAATAAGATAAAAAATAATAAATATATCTTCAAATATAATTATATTTAAATTTAATTTATATTATTTATATAAATAAAATTGAAAATATGTATTTAAGTAAAAATAAAATTTAATTTAATTTATAATATTTATAATAGTATATTAAATTATAAAAATTTCAAATAGTAAAATTTTTAATTATTCAAATTATATTTAAAATTAAATTTAGTTTATTTATTTTTTATATAAAAAAAAGAAATATTTAATAAATCTTAAAATATAAAATTGAAACCAAAAAATATTAAAAAATAAGAATATTTTAATTTATATTCTATTATTTTTTGATATATGTTTAATTTAGAATTTATATTAAAATATAATATATATATATATTTAAAATAAAAAAAAACATTTAAGACTTTTAAAAAAATTAATTTAAATAATAAAGTTATAAATATACATATTGATATTAAATATAGTATATTTATTAAATATAAATATTTAGATTTTAATTAATTAATTTTAAAATAATTAAAAATTATAAAATAAAGAAATTAATATAATAATATAAGTTTATGTAGTAAATGGAATTTGTCAAATATTAAATTTTCTTTATATGCTAATATTTTAATTTATGATAATAAATTATAAATTAGATTATCTATTTTATGAAAGCATAGCTAACCATATTAAATAATTATATTTTCTTTAAGCCTTTTTAACAATTAAATATATTTAAGTATAATTAAAAAAATAAAATAAAAAATAAATACTACAAGATTATAATAAAAAATTATTTAGATTATTTTTAATATAATTGTAATCTATATAATTTTATACATAAATATAATACTATATTAAATTAATTTTTAAATTATAATAAAAAATTATTTATAAAAAAAATGAAAAATAATAATTCTCTAAAATTTAAAATAAAATTATAAATATATATATATAAAAATATAAATATATATATTTATATATATTTATATATATATCAATTTTTTTGAAAATATATTTTTTTATTCTAATTTATCAATGAATATACAGCTATTGTGATATTATACACTATATATATTAATGTAAAGAAAATAAAAAATCTGAAAGGCGCGACATTTCCTTTACCAATACATTTACCTGTCCAAGGACAATGATGGTCATGTTCTCTAATACATATTTTACAAGAATTACAATGATATGTTTAATTATCTTATAATATGTTACATATTTTACATTCTCTAATAAAAAAAAAAATATAATAATATAAAAAAAAATACTTAAATTCTAATTATTTTTGAATTATATTTTATGTTTCTTAATCGTTTTTATGAGCTATTCCTGGATTTGCTAATCCTGTAATTAAATAAGAGCTCAATTATAATATTGATATTAATACAGATAATATTATAATTATATAGTCTAATTCTTTTAAAATTGCATCTATTATTACAAAGCTACTTAAAATAAAAAAGCCTAACCATGTAATTACAAATAATGGCCCTTTTTTTATAAAATTAGTAAATTTTTTTATTTTTTATATTTATTTTACAATGAGCTCCTAATGTCAAAGTAGGCTAGCCATCTTGTTAAATACAAACATATATGTTTTTTCCAATATATTTTTTTTTATTTCTGGTTATTCATTTAAATTTGAACTATTTTATCCTACGTCTGTTATCTAAAATTCTAAATCAACTTCATATTAATTATTTTCATTTAATTTATTATATTATCTTAATTCATGCTATATATTCAATTTTATTTTTTAGTTTTAAATATTTTATTATTATTATATTTTTAAAATAAAAATTAAAAAAATTAATTTAAACATTAATTATAATTATCATTATAAAAATAATATATATAATAAATTATATCACTTTTTTTAAATAAAGTTACTTTTAAGTAACATTTATTGAATATTTTATAAACATTAAAATATGAAAGCTAAATATTCTTTTAATATACATCAATTTTACAAAAAAAAAAATATTATTATAGTATCATTTATTATATTATTATTTAAATTTATTTGAAAGATTTAAAAATTATTGTGTTTCATTTTTTAATTTTTCCTAATATTTTATTTTTTAAAAAATAAAATATATTTATTTACTGTTTTCTTTTAAAAGTTTTCTAAATAATTTAAAAATTCTTATGTGTCTTAATCATTTCTAATTGATAAACATGAATTTTCTATAGATTAATTCAAATTACTTTCTGCATTTTTATTTTCATACACATTATATTCATAAATATTACTTTCATTATTTAAAGATCCATTTATTAATTTATTGTTATTGTTATTGTTATTTTATTATTATTATTATTATTATTATTATTATTGCTATTATTACTAATATTATATTATTACTATTATTACTATATTTAATATTACTAATTTTATTATTATATTTACAATTATTATTATATTTATTAATATTTTAATTTTTATTATTATTGTATTTCATATTATTCATTTTTTTCCTCTACTTATCCTTATTATTAATATTATTATATTTATTACTATTATTACTTTTTTTAATATTATGACTATAATAACCATTACTATTATTATTACTATTATAACAATAATTACTATTATTACTATTATTCATATTATTATTATTACTATTATTATTAACAATTCTAAATCTTTGAATTTTTATTATTATTACAATAATCATTTGATTCATTAATATTATATTCTTATGCGTTATATCTTTAATATACATGACTTTAATAATTATAATTCATAGTATTATTATAATTTTGTAAAATATCATTTATATATTTTATGTTATTTGTATTTACTAATTATTATTATATTTCTTCAAACTATTTTTTTTAATTTTTTTTTTTTTATATTTTACTTTTTATTAAAGATTTATAGGTATTTAATTTTAAATTTAAATCAATTAAATACCTACATTTTATATAGTATTTTAAAGTCTTTTGTTTATTTATTTAGTCTATTATTTTCTTCATTTTATATATTAATTTAATGATTTTATTAATCTATAATATTTTATAATTCCTATTTATAAATTATAAAATTAATAATTTTTTATTCGAAATAATTAGTTTATATACTTTTATTTATTATATAAAATCTTTTTAAATTTATTAAAAATTTGAATCAATTTATAATTAGTTTTATACATTTTAATTATTTTTTAATAAACTAGAATTTGAATTTCTTAAATCGCTAAAATTTTACAACATATTTTAATTATAATTTTATTCTTATTGTTATTAAATAATAGTATTTTCATAAGTCTATTATTATATTAATAATTATTATTATTTTTATTATTTTTATTATTATTATTATTATTATTATTATTATATTTAATATAATTATTATTATTAAATTGTTTTTTATTATTAACTTTATTTTAAATTATCTTAATTTTCATTACTATCAATTAAATTTTCAATTTTTTATAAACATTTGTTTTATTTTAGTATTTACTTTTTTTTTAAAAATAGTTTTTTATAATATTATATCAAAATTATATTTATATATATATTAATATATATATATATATATATATATATATATATATATATATATATATATATATATTTAACTATTTCATATTTATTGAATTTAGGAATTGATCCTTCAGGTGGAATTTTAATAAAAGGATCTTTCAATTAGCAATTATTTACCATTTCTAAAAGTGCTTATGCATACAAATTTCTGTTTTTCTTCCATATTTTATTTGATGTAACCTAACATAATTTTTTTGTCCATTATTCTATTCTTATTCTTTCATGTTTTGTTAATATACCATATTTTTGTTCTATTTATAACATTAATGATATAAACTCATTATCCATTTATTAGTTTTCTTTTATTTCTTTTTATTTTAGAGGAGAAGGAGAATTTTTATTTTATTGCATTTATGAATTACTTTATTATTATTTTTAATATGGAGAATTATTTCGATTGTTTCTTATCATTTATTATTTCTTATATTTATTTTTTTAATTATATATTGAAATTATTTTTAAAGTTTTTTTATGTTTTTTTTTTAAAATTTGTTTTATTATTTATATATAATAAATAAATCTGTTGTATATTAATAGCTTTATTAAAATAAAATAAAATTAGTATTAATATTTTTCAAATAAAATAAATTAAAATAATTAAAAATAAAACATAAATAAAAATATTAAAGATATATAATTAAAAAATATATTATTTAAAAATAATATTTATTTTCATATTTTATAAATATATTTCAAATATTTTTTACTTATAAGATATTTTAAATAATAATTAATAATATAAGAAATAACAAAATAAAAAAAAAAAAATTAGTGAAAATAAAAATCTAATAAAGAATAAAAGATAATTTTCTAAAAAATAAAAATAAAATAATTATAAATAAAAAAAAAAAAATTATATAAAAAAATATATAAATAAAAATAAATATATATATATATTAAAAAAATATAATATATATTTATTAATATATATATATATATAAATGTATATTTTATATATATATTATATTTTTTTTTAAAAAAAATTTATTACTTTATTTAAGATAAATAAATATTTTTATTTATAAGATATATATAATATATTATTTATTTTAATATATCATTATTTAAAATAATAATAAATACAAAAGAATTTAAAATTAAAACTAAATATACAATTTTCCTAATAGCAACTGTATGAAATGTTGATATCTTATAAAATTAATGTTTTTATAATAAAACCATTTTTTTAAAATAAAATTTATTAATTTTGAAGAATGAAAATTAAAAACATAATATATATTTAAATTTTAATGATCTTTTATTGTAATTAATTCACTCAAATAAAAAATACAATATTATATTAGTTATAAAAATAAAAAAATTAAAGTTAATTCAATAAAATTTAAAAATTATTAAAAAAAGTATATAATACAAATTAAGAATATGAATATATATATATATATTATATTTTTATATATTTTTATTTTTATATATATGTATATATATATATACATATAATCTATTCAATCATTTATTATTCCAATAATCAATTAAACCAACTGCCACAACAGCACTTTCTCTTACAATTCTACTTGGATCATTTACAAAAAGTTTTAAAAATTCTTTATCATCAGCTATACTTGAATATGCGGAAAGTGCTTCATGTCTAACGATTTCATTTTCTTCCTAATCTGCACTAGTTTCCTTTAATTACATAATTGATTCATTTGCGTTTTTTGAAATTTATCCTAAAACAAAGCAGATTTCATGCCTGAATAAATTATTTGTTTTTTCCCAATATTTTCTATTTAAAAGTTCACTTAATAATTTGACACTTTCTTTATTTTTTATATCCCTTAAAAGGTAAATTGCTCTATATTTTTCAAAAAGTGTATTTTTTTCATTTAAACAAAATTATTTTATTATATCATAAATTTAATCTTTTTAACAAATTTCTTCTATTTCAAAAGGAGCAGCAGGTTCACGAGTACCAGCAAATTGTAAACCGTATTTTTTCTTTAGATTTTTATAAGTTTATAACTTTTCTAATCCAATTTAGCATGTATATTTTACCTCATTTATATTACTTTCACTGTATTTCTAAAATAATTATAATAATTCACTATCTTCTTCACAAAAATTACTTAATCCTTCTGCTGCTTCGTGTCTAACAACAGGATATTCGTTTTCTGTGTCTAAAACTTTAACTAAAAAAGGCTTTATTAGGTACTTAAAGTCTGTATTCATCTATCCTAAAGCATATGTAACTTCATGTTTTAAAAGATCAGAATTATCAAGATTTTCAAAGTTATCTATTAATGCTTAGACAGATTAGGATGTATTTAAAGACTTTAACTCAAAAATTGATATGTATTTTTTTATAACATCACTTTCAGGGTTTTATAGGATATTTGAGAATTTATTTACAGGATTATCAACTAATTACATTTTTAATTAAATTAAAATAATAATAAAAGCTAATAATAAATTATTTAATAAAATATATACAAATATAAAAAAAAACATATTTATTTATAAATATATATATAAATAAATAAATATAAATATAAATTAATATTTATTTAAATATAAATTTATATTTTAAAAATTAAAAGATTTATTTTTAAAATATATAAAATATTATATTTTTTAATACAATATAATTTATAATTGACAAAATATAAAAAGAATAGCTATATAAAATAAATGATAATCATTATAATATAATATAATAAACATAATATATAAAATTATAAATTTTATAAAAATATAATATTTAATCTTTATTTTATTACATTGACTCTAAATTAATCAAACAATATTATTTCTTTTTTATCAAATTCCTTATATTTATTGTATATCTTTATTTTATAAATTTTCAACATTTTCAAATTAATTGCAATAATCAATAATAGATTTTCCTTCTTTATTATTATTATTTTATAATTGTTAAATTTCTTATGTCAATAAATTTTATAAATTGTCTAACATCTAATTATCTAAATCTATTTAATAAAATAAAAATATAATATGTATATATATAAATAAAATTATTTAATATATATATATATATATGTATCTTAATATTTTATAATATATTTATTTATTAATTATTTTTTATTTTTTTATCATATTTAAAATTTTTTTTTCTTAATTTATTAAATTAATATTATTTTAAATTTAAAAAAAAAAAGATAATATAATTAATATAAAAAAAATTGATATAAAATAAATATAAATAATTACTATGATCTTAACAAAACTTAAGCGCTAAACTTTCTGCTGTATCATTTTCGTAAATGGTAATTCTTTCTAATTTTTCACCTAAATTAACGTCTACAAATAATAAAGGAATTTTATCATTTGGGCTATCTGAAAAAAAAAAAAGAATATTAAATATATATATATTGAAAAAATATAAAAAATTAATTAAAAAATATAATAATTATAAAATATATATATATATATATATATATATATATATATATATATAATTTTATTAAACTTATAATATGTTCTGAATATCCTTAATATAAATATCCATTTTATATATTTTCTTGATATTATAAATATTCTTAATGTAATTATTATTTATAAAATTCTTATTAATTTAAATTTCCTTATTATATTTATTAATAATTATTTTATTGTTTATTTTGTTTAGATTAATACTAATTTTATTATTATAATTATTTTTATTATTATTATTTTTATAATTATTATTATTTTTATTTTTTCATTTCTTATTATTACTAATTATAATTTTATTTAACATTTCTACTATTTAATTTTAATATTTGATTATTATTTTTTATTTTGTTAATATTATTATTAATAAAATCATTTTATTTCTTACCATTATCTTATTAGACTTTTATTTATTCTCCATATCCTCTTTCAAGCATTTTTTTCTTATCATCTCTTAATTTAATTGCTTATCTCATTCTTTCTACATATTATTAAACTTTTTAATTTTGCTATGGCAATATTACTTTTACTTAAATTTACTTTATATTAGGCTTAAAAGTATATTCATTATTTTTTATTTCTTCCTAAAAATTATTATTAGAATTTTAAATTTACATCTATTTTTACATTTGAAATTTTCCGTATAATTCCATACTTTTAAGTACTCCTAATTCTTTTTTTTTCACAGTTTAATGTAAAGTTTCAGGGTGAAAAGTGCATTCATGGTAAATTTATTTATCTATTTCTTGATTTTTCTATATTTCTCTTTATTTTAATTGATTTTAATGTTTTAATATACAGGCATCAATATAATTCTGATTTCCATTTTTATCTTGGATTTTGTCACGATAAGACTGAGCCATAATTTTTGATTTTTCATTAATTTTCGGAACAAAATCCTATTATTATTATTACATTTCTATTTTTTATGTTTTTATTAATTTTAATTAAATAATCTATTTTTTTAAAATAATTCAAATTCATTTTATAATAATCTAGCTTCTTCACTATCTATACTCCATAATCCATTATAATTAAATTAACCTCTTCTTGGTTTTTTTACTAATTAAATTTATTTATATATATATATATATATATATATATAAATATATATATATATATATATATTTATTTATATATAATATTGTTTACAAAAATCATCTTATTTATTTTATTATTTTGTGCTTTAAGAATTAAAAGATAAATCATTATTTTATGAGTCTGAAGAAAATTGTAATTAAAAATTAAATATACCAATAACGACTAGTAAAAATTAACATAAATTAATTTTATTAATATTATCATTAAAATCGCCTCTTAAGTAATACCATAAATCATATACTAATTTTCTTTCTGGATTTGAAAAATTACACTAATTATTTTAAGGAATTAAAAAAAAAAGCTTTTCTAATACGTCATTAACCTCAATATATTCCAAATTTATATTTAATTCTGAAGTTACACTTTCGAATTCTTTTATAAATTTTAAAGCTACAAATTATTCATTTTTTTAAGATTATAATTGCTTTTATTTACTTTTTTCTATATTAGAAAAAGAATTTAAATATTATTATTATTACTGATTTTATTTTTCTTATCTACGCAAAGCATCTTCATACAAATCTTGGTCTACTTTTCCTTTTCTTTATAATATTTTTGATGTCTCATTTATTTAGGGATAAAATTAATTTTAATTTGATTCTGTTTTTTATATTTTAGAGTTCGAATTTTTTTAATAGCTGTTTTAAATATAAGAATCATTTTTTAAAAACTGGTCAGATTACGATTTGTTATTAATATTATTTTAAAAATTCGAAATCATTTTTTTATGTTATTTTTTTTTATTCTTTTATTCTTTTTTTCTTAATTTTATTATTATTTTATATTTTCTTAAAATTAAATTAAAAATATAACTTTATACAGAAATAAAGAAATATAAATAATCAAACAGCTTCTTTTTTTTTTTTTAAAAAAAAAAAATATATTAATTGTAGTTTAAAAAAATTATTTATAAATAATCTAAAATTTTACAAAAATATTATGCTTTATTTATTAATTCAATATTTTAATTATTTTTTTTCTTAATTTTAAAATATATGTAAAATTATTTAATTTAATTAAAAAAATAATATAATGTTTCGATAAATTTAAAGTATTTAATATAAATATAAAAATATTATATAAATATTACAATAAATAATATATATTAGATTATTTTACTAAATATTATTTTTAAAAAAAATAAATAAAAAATGAACATATTTATTCAATAATACAGGCAACATATTAAACAAGAAAACTTAAATAATATAAATATTACAATAATTCAATAAATGTTTAAAATTTTCGGATAATTAAATTTAACCTACGAAATATTAATGAAAGATTTTTCGTATGTAATAGGAAGTCTTTTATCATTAAAAGAAGAAATTAAAGAAATAGAAAAAGAAGAAGAAATCACAAACAATTAAAAACTTCAAAATTAAATAAATGAATAAAAAATTTAAATATAAAATTATAAAAACTAAATAACATAATATGAGAATTAATTAAATTAAGAAAAAAGAGAAAACACAATATATTCAGAATTCGATATTGATAAATTTAAAAATTTAAAAAACAATGTTTTAAAAATTAAGATTTTTAATAATATTAATAAAATTCTAATAATTGTTTTAATTCTTCCTATTCAAATAACAATGCAAATAATAAAAAAATTAATATTAACTTTAATAAATAAAGTAATATATAGCTATAATTTTAATTAAAAAATACTTAAAATAATAATCAAAATCTAGTTTAAAATATACCTGAAATGCATAAATATGCATGTTCTTAATGTCAATAATTATATTAAGCGTTAGGATAGGAAATATGTGCTAATTGTTCAAGGCATAAATCTAAAGGTACTCCTTTAAGAACTCCGAAATCTCATTTACAATCATTTATATGTGATTAGTGAATTTCATTTTTATTTGAAATTTTATATTTAAATGATTATATTTCATGTGAAAATTTTTTATTCATTTATGTTTATAATAATAAAGAAGATTTATTATTTATGAAGCCAAAATTTAATTTGAAATTTTTCAAAATTTGATTTGATTATACTAAAAAAATAAATTAATTAATATGTTAAATATTTTTTTAAAAAAACGCATTATAATCATAAACATAATTTAATTAAAATAATTTTTCTTAATAAAAAAAACAAGAAAAATAAAAAATTTTAAAATAATTTTTTTATTATAATTATATTTTTAAATATTTAGCTTTTTTTCATTTTTAATTCTTTCTTTATTATTATTTATGATTAATAAACATATATTAACTTTATTTATTTTTTATTCAATTTTATTTTAAATTTTATAAGGTTAATTTCCATATTTTTAATTTTTAATATATTTTATTTAGTATTCAATAAAAATAATTTAAATTGAATTAAAGTCATAAATAAATTTCTAAAGATAAATACACTTATTAATTTATTTATTTTTGATATGTTTTACTTTGATATTTTATGATTAAATATATTTTTTTTACTTTAAAAAAAATTATTACTAAAAATAATACTTAAATTAAACCAATTATTTTAAATTAATATTGCCTATTACTTTTTTACATTTTTTATATTTAAAAATATATTTTCTATAAAAAAATATACGAATTAGTTTATATATATGTGAAAATTTTAATAATTAAGTATTTTAAATTAATTAAATTAACAACAAAGAAACTATAAAAAAATAAGAAAAAATAGGTATAAAAAATATAGTAAAATTGACTATTTTTAAGAAAGAAAATTAAAATAAAATAATGCAATGTAATGTAATCTTTATATAAACCGGGAAACAAAAATCAAAATAAAATTATCTTTCTAACTGTAAAATTAGATAATTGATACTGAATTTTTAATTATTTCCTTGTTACTCAATAAAAGACTATTAGAATTAGAATATAATATATACAAGCCT